ATATATGCAGGGTTGAGAAGTAACTCGTTACTTGTAACAAAGTTACAGTTACAGTTACTTTTTTTTGGTAACTCTAGCTTAACTTCGTTACTTTCTCTCCATCTGTAACAGTAACTTAACTAAATCACATTTTTTCAGTAACTAGTAACTAATTTAATAATATGACGCTTGAATGTATAAACAAATGATCAAATTTTAAAGGCCAAAAATAACGAGCTACTATAAAGGATGTTAGAAAAATCAATTATATTCTTAATAATTTACATAGGTGAACGTTTCGACTTAACTTAGTCTTTTTCAACACCCTAATTCAATAATTAAGATACATTAAATTTAGAAGGTACATGACTGGTCATTGTAATTATTATTAAATGTCGTTGGAATAAGTTAAAAATTAGTAAATGAAAAATTATATGTATATATAAATGCCAACATCATAAACTAGGAGAAAACGATTCCCATACTGGAGACATGTAATTATCGTCAAACTCATCGGTATGACACAATCTAAGAACGGACAGAGGCAATAGTTAGAGAAGATCAGTTGGTATTAAAGATGTTTTTTTCTTTTTCTTAAAAGATATATCTCTTTGGTTCCAGTCAAGGATATGTTCTTCCATAAGTCCAAACGTGATCAATTTTTATGTGGTTGGTTTGTTTCTTGTTCTGAATTTAACGTTAATTAGAATCGATTTTTGTTGCATTAGAAAACTTACAGGAATCACCACAAGTATATTTCAAACAGAAAAAGCGGTACGTCTAATTGTAAAGACCAGCAGATTCAACATTCACAGCGAAAAGCCGCGAAACTCGCAGAGGAAAGGAGAGAACGTGGACCAAGAAAAAGGACAGTTCAGTTCGGGACAAGGTAACGATCGGTTTTGGCAGTCAAGTACCTGTGATCGCCTCGAAGAACTCTTGAGTGATGTCCACCCAGTTATGCGTGACCTGGTCGAATCTACAAGACAAAAGCAGGACGAAGCAGTTAAAAAATACCGCCGTACGGCGTGCGAGCAAACGGCACGGCTAGGTTAAACCGACGTCGAGTGCCGCGACGATGGTACGACGGACCGTCGCGTCCATCGTTCGTCGGCGACCGACGAGCATGGTTCGCCGCCGTGATTAATCCGCGTTGAAACTTACGACAAATCTTTATCCTCGTTCATATCAATCGAATTCGGATCCTCCACCATGGTCGCCATTATTGTGGACGAGTGTTCTGTCACCTCGTTGCAGGACTGCCACTCCTGGCTGCCAAGCCAAAAATCCCCAAGTTGCACTTGTGCAGAATGGAGAAAATCGCTCAGTGAACGCTTCGCGCTGATTGGGTTAAAGCCTAGTGCAACTGCACGCAGCAAGCAGCAAGCGTCGAGCAGCAGCCAATCAACGAAGAGATATTTTCTACGCCACTGCTGACGCTTCCGCAAAATTCAGCAGTGTTGGATCCTCGCTGCTCGACGCTTGCCGCTTGCTGCGTGCAGTCTGTAGCAGGCTTTAGGCTTAGGTTGGATTCACATGGAGCGTAATTTGCGTAGCGTAACCTGCGTATCACCAATCACAGGGTCATTCTGATAGAACCGTTTCAATAATTCCGTTGAAATAGTTCTGTGATTGGTGATACGCAGGTTACGCTTACGCAAGTTACGCTCCATGTGAATCCAACCTTATGTCCACGATGCTAGAACTTGATCCAAGTTCTAGTTCCGAGAAATGTGTAGCCAATCAACTCGCAGCTATTCAACGTATTCTTCTTCTCTTTTCTTTCAGTAAAGATAGAAAGAGAAGAGAAACGCTTCAGCCTAGTGCAGACTGCACGCAGCAAGCGGCAAGCGTCGAGCAGCAGCCAATCAACGAAGAGATATTTTCTACGCCA